CGATTTGGAGAGTCAGTGATTAATAACCCATTCATAACTACAGCATTTTGCTTCGTTACTGAATGAATGAATGAATGACTCGACGCCTGGCTCATTAAGACAGCGACTTGCCGCCACCTATTGGCGGTTTTATTTTTAATCTACAAGTATCACTTCGATTTGCCATCATTCATTGCTTTATTTATTATATTAATAATACACTTAATGAAATGTTAAGAATAGGACATAAAACATGATTACAATAGAAAAGTCAGACTCAAACTCAAACGTTTCTCATCAAGTTAATTTGAATTCCTCCGATATCTCAATTGTTTCTCCTGGATAGCATTGAGATTAAATGGAGACTTGAGTCTCCAATAATCTCACGTGTTTCCTAGTTTTTTAAGAGGTTTTAATTATGTTTCTCAAATAAACTGTGTTCAAATTTGCCAATAAAATCAATGTGAACTCAAACGTTTCTCATCTCAGGCTGTGCTCAGAACTCAGTATGAACTCAAACATTTCTCATCAAGTTAATTTGAATATATTTGATATCTCATTTGTTTCTCCTGGACAGCAATGAGATTAAACTGAGACTTATGCTTGAGTCTGTTTGTTTCAGAGTTTCATAAGAGATCTCAATAATGTCTCAAACTGTGCTCAGATCTCAATATGAACTCAAACATTTCTCTTCGAGTTAATTTGAATATATTTGATATCTCATTTGTTTCTCCTGGACAGCAATGAGATTAAACTGAGACTTATGCTTGAGTCTGTTTGTTTCAGAGTTTCATAAGAGATCTCAATAATGTCTCAAACTGTGCTCAGATCTCAATATGAACTCAAACATTTCTCTTCGAGTTAATTTGAATTTATTTAATATCTCACTTGTTTCTCCTGGACAGCAATGAGATTGAATGGAGTGCAAATGGAGACTTTTGCTTGACTCTCCTGCTTTTTACCTGAGAAAAAGACCTTAGTAATCTCATGTGTGTCTTCTCTAAGGTTTCAGAAAAGATCTCAATAATGTCTCAAACTCTGCTCAGATTTGCCAATAAAAGTCAGAGATCTCAGTATGAGTTCAAACATGTCTTATCAAGTTAATTTGAATGTATTTAATGTCTCAATGGTTTGTCCTGGACAGGAATGAGATTAAATGGAGTGCAAATTGAGACTTTTGCTTGAGCCTCCTGCTTTTCACCGGAGAAAAAGGGGAAATCTCACGTGTCTCATTTAGTTTCAAAAAAATCTCCATGTTTCAATCTGTTCTTAGATTTGCCAATGAAAGCTAGAGATCTCAATATGAACTCAAACCTTTCTCATCAAGTTAATTTAAATTTATTTAATGTCTCAATTGTTTCTCATGGAGAGAAATGAGATTAAATGGAGTGCAGATGGAGAGTTTTGTTTAAGTCTTCTGCTTTTTTTCTGTGAAAAAGACCTCAGTAATCTCATGTGTCTTCTCTAAAGTTTCAGAAAAGATCTCAAAAATGTCTCAAAGTGAGCTCAGATTTGCCACAATACCAAAATCTGCAATCAAAAGTCACAGATCTCAATATGAATATCAATCAATTCTCATTAAATTCTCCTAAAACCAACCTTAGCTGTTATATAAATGAATTATATAGCTCTATAGCTCTTACTGTATGACAACAACTGTCTGTTTTTATTTCTTCTAATGAACTTTTGTGAGAAACGTCTGAGACAAACATCTGAAAATTGATAGTTGAGTCTCCTGAGCTCTAAAAGAGCAGTTTTTGAGCCAAATCATTTAGTTAATCTCAAGATTTGGCTTTTGTCATGACTTAAAAAAGAAAGCAAACATTTTATTCTCCTTGAAAAGGGTTTGTGTTAAAACGAGGGATGAGACAGTGATTAAAACAGTTATTTATCCTGCTGTTTCCCTGATAAAGCAAAACTTCTCAGTCTGATATTGTCGAGACAGAAACAGAATAAAGCAATAAGCCCCAAGAAGCCGTGGTTTACAGTGAATTTATAGGCCAAGCAACACACAGAAGTAAACAAATGTGTATGTTTGTAGTGTAATTTACAACAGCTTCGAACGCAGCTCAACCAATCAGAATCAAGCACCGGAACTATCTGTTTTATTATCATGTGTCTATCACTTCCTGTTAGAACACTGCTGTTCTGATAGATGGATGTAGTTCAGCGACAGAGACAAATCGATAGCGAGACGGGAGTCTCACAGGAGACGTCTCTCTCGTGAGTGTCTGACAGAAGTGTTACATCAGCCGTCTCTCAGTTCACTTCCAGCCGCAGCATCCGTCAGACTCACACCGTGAACATTTCTGCAGCCGTGAAGGTGTCTCTAAGCTGCTTTCTCTCTGTTTCTTCCCCTCAGTACGGTGGACGACTATTCTCCACACCAAAAGGTGAGAGAGATTGTGAAAAGGAAGAAGAATTTACCCAAAAATGAACATTTTGTAAACTAAAAAAATTGCTAAACAACTAAATATTCTCACAAAAATGTATAAAAAAAAAAAAGGAAACTATATTTGTTATTTTTAGATGATTTTAGAATCGGAATCATTTAAAGCTAATGCTAACTAATATGATATTGTTTGTCCTTCCAGAATAAAGCGCTGTACCAGCAGCTGAGTCTGAAGGAGAACTGCGTCTCTCTCCGAGGATCTCCAGTCGAGAGTAAAGAAGGTAATACTTCAGTCTTTGGGCGATTTATTTCTTTGTGCATTATATTATTTTATATTATATACATTTATATATATTATACAAATTCCTATTTTTATATTTTGTGTAATATGATTTTTTTTTTCATTACATTGATGAGAATTTGGGGGGAAACATGCTTATTATTTATTATGTATAGATGTAAAATTATGCAAAAAAATTATAATAGAGATAATTCTTCTTTATGCATTTATTAAATATAAAAAATAAAATATAATATATAATAAAAGTAATAAAATATAAATGTAAATAAAATTGAAAAATTGAAAAAAATTAAAAATATAATAAGAACATTTTTCTTTTGGCAAATATAAATTTATTATATATACATTTTTATTTTTTGATATAATCAAAAATAAATGTAAATGAAATATAATAGAAAAAACAATAATAGAATGAATTTTCTTTATGCCAGTATCAATGTAAATACATAAATGTAAATAGAATTTGTAATAGAAAAATTAACAAATTTAATAAGCACAAAATTTTCTTTTTGTAAATATATATATTTTTTATCTTTTTGATATAATAAAACATGTACATAAAACAAACAAATAACATGTAAATAAAATATAATAATTGAAGAAATAATAAAGCGTAATAGTGCAAAATTTTCTTTATGCAAATATAAATTTAAATAAATAATAAATGTACATATTTTTTGTATAATAATATATAGATTTAAATAGAATGTAAATGAATCTCTTCAAAATATGATGTAATTTTTTCACCTTCTGATTTTGGGATGAAACATGAATCCAGACTTGGTTGGAAAAAGGATTTTTTGGAAACTTTTGTAAATTTTGCACCCCTAATCCAGACCTAATTTTGCCACTTTCTCTGTGTGTGTGTGTGTGTGTGATGTGTTGCTTGTGTGTCAGTGATGTGCCGCGTGTACGTGAGCTCTGATTCGTATCTGAGCGTGCGGGTGAAGCCGGCGGTCGTGGCTCAGGAGCTGCTGCACATCGTCTCTCAGCGCATGGACCGATCCGAGGACGACATGATGCTGGTGGTGCAGACGTACAGCGGAGGTTCATACACACACACACACACACACACACACACTTCTCGGCTCTGTGTAGTTAATGCTGCTCCATGTGAAAGCCCGCAGGTGATGGAGATTTACCGCTGATTAAAGAACCGGTTTTACTGACAAGATGCGCGTTAAATATAGCATGCCATTTATCGTGCAGCCCTAGTACCGAAACCCGGTACCAATATGGCACCGGTACCTATGTAAACGGTATGTACAAGAACCGAATCAGAACACAGATTTCGGTGCCTCATTTCGGTGCCATGCCTGAGCGATCGCATCATTTTTTGAGGAATTTTTATTTATTTATTTTTAAACAAGTATCGGTTCAGGCACCGTTTAGGCACCGGAACCGGTTTAAAAGTATCAATTTGGCACCGGTATCGAAAAAACCCCAAACGATACCCAACCCTATTCTGCAGTCAAACACACTGACTCTGTCCTCCGTCTCACAGAGAAGCGCGTCCTTCAGCCGCACGACAGTATTTACTCCGAGACTCTGGAGGCGCCTGGCAGACTGATCGCCTGTCGAAGAGACCTCAGCGAGATCCTGGTGCGACAAACTAGCATAACGTGTTCGTTTTGTGTGGTTAAAACCGTTGAAAATGACTCGTAATACTGATAAGGGTATTTGTGTGTCTCAGCCGCCCCTGACTGAGTGTCCTGAGCTGGGACAGAAGCCCGTCAGACTGCTGGGCATCAACACATGGGACGTATCTGTGGCTCTGACAAACTTCGACTGGAATCTCTTCAACTCCATTCATGAGGTGAAGCTTCTCAGATACTGCTGTCATCATTAAATCATGAGCAGAAATGTCACAGATAACATATTTACATGGTGAAATACAACCCTGTTAGCATGATTGCTGTTTGTTTTGACAACAGACTGCAGATGAAACAATTACATTTATATTTTTTTATTCTATTTACATTTATGTTATTATATTTAAAAAGATATATTATATTATTATTTAAATGTATGTTTGAATAAATAAAATTTTGTTCTATTATTTTGATGTATTTTATTAACATTTATATTTCATTATATTAAAAAGATTAAAATGTATAGATGAGATGATATGTATATTTGCATAAAGAAAAAGTAGCTCTATTATCATGTTTTTTATTTTTTCCTATTATTATTATGTATTTAGATTTTATTATATTGAAATTATTAGAATGTGCAAATATAAATTTAACATATAATAATATAAATTTAGTTTAAAATTCATTATATATTTTAAGCTGAAAAAACAGCTGAAGTTGTTTTTAATTTCTTTTAAAAATTTACAAACGTCTATAACTAATATTAATTATGTCATTAGTATTTATTAAAAAATATTTTGTTGTTAGAAGCCGTGTCCAACATTGTTTGAACATACTTTAAACATGTCATCAACAGCTTTAAACCTTTAAATGTTTTTAGAAAATATACACTGCTGATTTTTTTTATTATTTATTTAAAAGAAGTCTCTTATGTTCACAAAGGCTGCATTTATTTGATTGAAATACAGTAAAAACATTAAAATTGTGAAATATTATTACAATTTAAAATAACTGTTTTCTATGTGAATATCTGTTAAAATGTAATTTATTTCTATGATCAAAGCTGAATTTTCAGCATCATTACTCCAGTCTTCAGTGTCACATGATCTTCAGAAATCATTCTAATATGCTGATTTTTGAACATCTCTGATTATTATCAATGTTAAAAACAGCTGCGCTGCTTCATATTTTTGTGGAAACCGTGATGCATTTTATTTTTCAGGATTCACAGATGAATGGAAATTTCAAAAGAACAGCATTTTTCTGAAATAGAAATCTTTTGTAACATTATAAATGTCTTTACTGTCACTTTTAATCAATTTAATGCATCCACAATGAATGAAACTATTAAAAAAAATCATACTGACCCCGGACTCTTTGTTAACTAGATTGTTATATTCATACTCTCTCTCCTGATGTTCTGACAGCAAGAGCTGATCTTCTACACGTTCAGTCGTCAGGCCAGCAGTGGCCACACGGTGGCGCTAGAGTTCCTGCTGCAGCGCTGTAATGAGGTGCAGCAGTGGGTGATGTCTGAGGTGCTGCTCTGTCCATCGCTCAGCAAACGAGTGCAGCTGCTCAAGAAGTTCATCAAGATCGCCGCGCAGTGAGTCTCTGAAACCGTGTTTACACTCAGGACAAAAGTGATGAAGACTTCACACACATTAATCTCAATATTCAGTCCTGCTTTGACCAGCCAATACTGTTTTATTTTTAAATGACAGATACTGATTATTCTTATGTTTAAAAAAAAAAAAAAGTAATATTAATATATTAAAAATAA